ACATGCCTTCCTCACTAAGCTTAATCATTTCTAGCTTTTGATTTAAGTGAGAGAAATGTGAGTGTTCCTTTCACTTGAACACGTAAAGGTCATTGTGGGTTAGTTAATTGGCCTAATTCAATACCATTGTTTCTCCAGTAATAGGGAGGGCCGAGGAGAAGGGGACAGGGGAACAGCTAGTTGGTGGGGCATTTAGAACACACAGAATATTTATCAATTAATGGGAGTGGTTCATGAAACTCCAAAACAATTACAATAGTAACATCAAAGATCACTGATCACAGATCACCATAACAGATATAATAATAATGAAAAAGTTTGCAATATTGGGAGAATGACCAAAATGTGGTAAGGAGACGCAAAGTGGGCACATGCTGTTAGAAAAATAGCACCAAGAGAGTTGCTCAATGAAGGGTCATCACAAATCTTCAATTTGTAAAAAACACAATATTTGCAAAGCACAATAAAGCAGAGTGCAATAAAATGAGGAATGCCAGTAGTCATCTTCCTCCAAAACCTGTTATTCCATCAATTGTAACTATTTATGTTTCATCTACTTAATCCAGAAATCACAACCAATTTGATTCCTGTTCTTCTCTTCCTACATCCAATTGATTGCACTGCTCTGTCCATTTTCCCTCCAATGTCTCCTATCTGCTTCCTTTCTATCACCATAGTTAAAGCTAACATTACCTGTAGCTTAGAGTATTGTCACAGCCTCCTAACTAGTACTTCCACTCTAATTTATCTTTTAATACTTCCACAAAAGGAATTTCCACAGATAATAATAGTAGCTAACATTAATTGCTCCTCATATGCCAGGCACTATACCAAGTGCTTCCCATCTCTTTTAATGTGCACAGCCACATCATAAAGTCGGATCTATTATTATTTAAATTTTAAAGATGAGGCAAAAGAAGTTTGGGGAGGTTACATAACTTACCAAAGGCCACAGAGCTAGCTCAGAAGTGACAACACCAGGAATCCAGGTCTATCTGGCTTCTAAAAACCCTGCTCATTTTTGCTTTCTCTGCTGCTAGCTTCACAAGTCTTGTGTTTGGTCTCCATCCATCTCCATCCCATCTGCCTTCCTTCCCCTTCCATTCTTCCAATCCATAGGTCTTTCTTTCGGTTTTACTTATCTCCTTATTTAGCAAGGATTCACTCAGCCATTTCAAGGAAGTCCTTCGCAGCAGGCTCCTCTTCTTTCACTGTGTCCACATCTGTCCCCAGTCCTCCTTCTCCCTCCTCTCTCTTTCCAGCTGCTAAGAGAAGGGTTGGAGAAAGAAATGAGTTATTTGTGCCGGGTGGCTCCAACCCCTGCAGATGCAGATACTCAAAACTCTCTGCATCTCTAGCTTTACTCTGCCTAACTCCCTAGTTAAAGCCTAATAAAGTGTTCCTTTATGGTTCTAATATAATGAACCAATTAAGCAAAAAGTGCTTTGTAAAGAGTGCTGTAGAGCGCCCCTACACATGTCAGGTGCAATCACTCAACCTCTTTTTATTATACTTGCGCAGGGCTTCAACTGAATTCTTCTGTGAGAAACAGAATAGGTGCTCCACACAGAGAATGCCGCATGTGTGTTCTGGGTGAAGGGAGAGTATAGCCCTGGATAACCGGAACTTGGCCCGGGAAATCTCTACTTACCATTACTGCCAAAGTCCCGCTTAAAACTCCTTCGGGGTTGTCAAGAGCGAGAAAGACAGGAAGAAAATGGGATAAACCTGAAAACCCCCCCTTTAAAAGTCTCTCTAGGAGGGCTCTCCTCCCCGCAGCTCCCCGGAAGTTTTACGTTTTTGCAAACGTCCTCCCTTCCACTCTCAAGGCCCTGCCCGGTCGCGCCGGGTCTCCTTTGGCCTCCCCCTTCCACAGGGTCCCCGCCTCCCGGCCCCCGCCGGCGCGCAGCGGACTACAACTCCCGGCGTGCCGCGCGCGTCCGGCCGGGGCTCTGGCTCCGCGCGTGGCGGCCGCCCAGCTCCGTGCGGGGCAAGCCCCCGGCGCGGCCATGCGGGGAGGTAAGTGATCCGCTCGTGCGGGGCGTGGGAGCGCGCCCGCCCCGGCCCCTCTCCAGGATGGAAGGAAACGAAGAATGCCACAATGAGAACCGCTCTGCCCTCCCTCGTCTCTGCCGTGTGTCCGGTGCTCCTGCAGCTTGTTGCACCCACGGGCGCGGACTCTGTCACCCTGGAGTGGAACTGAGGGCAGAAGCGCGCCCAGCCCTGCGGAGAGCCGGGGCGCGCCCGGGGCTGCGGGACAGAGCTCGCGGGCCGGGCCGGGGTGGTGGCATGGCTCGGCAAGGCGCACCGGGAGCGCCACACCCCCACACACCCTTTTCCAAAGACGGGCTTCCTCTGGGAGCCCCCAAACTAAAGACCAGCGAACTGTTTCTCCTCGAAAGTTTTAGACAGAAACTTTCCCATCTCTGCCACCGGTGCCGCAGCGAGTCGTTTGGCTCTCGGCCGGCGCTGCTTGTCCCAGAGGCAGCCTGGCGTGCTCGGTCTTGTCCTCACGGTCCCCTCTCCCTGCTGCTCCTCGCTCTCCCGTGGGACAACCTTTGGGAAGCGTGGAGCGCGGCCCTGCCCTCCGGCGACTTTGGGCTGGTGGTGCCTGGTGGCGGGTCCTTTGGGACAGCGCTAGCTCTCTGGGCGGGTCTGCTCTGCCTGGTGGATGAGTACTGATCAATAAAAGAAGCCAATCGGAGGCACCAGTTTCCCGCCCTAACTGACCCGCCTCCCCTCCCCCATCTGAGCCCACTTCCAAGTGTGTCCTAAAGTTCTGCTCCAGAATCCTGTACGAGGGTCTCCAAAATTATTTTAGCACATCCCATAATGTGCTGGATAAGAAGGTTTTTTGGCCTTTCCCCCACAACCTCCCGTCTTTCCACACACACACCGGGCACACTGCACACGTTCTACAACCACACACACCATACACTACACCACAGACACACGCCACATAATACACCACATAATACACATACCACACACACATTACACACTTCATTTATGCTACACACTACATGCGCATCATTTGGTCAACAGAGTAGAGGGTTAATGTCAGTTTGTTGGAGGGCGTGGGTGAGTGCTCATATATATATTTATATCCACAAATGTCAGTTTATTACCAAAGTTAGAAACTAGCTGGTAAGTGAAACCTGTTGTCATAATTTAGAATGTCTTTGTGGTTCATTTTTTATAAAATGGAATTGATTTCCTACACCACCTTCTGAAACCTTATACTTGTCTAACTGGCAGACTTTCGATCACAACAGGCAAGATGGGAGGGGATGTCCTTTACATGTAGGAAGAAATGCTTGGAAAAACTTCACAGAATCCTTTCTCCTGTGAATGTGCCTAAGGAAGAGTTGGGTGTGACTACATTTTCTTTTCCTCTTTCCCATGTGAAGTGAACATGCTTTTGTTCTGAAAAGTGCTGTCAAGAGACCCTCTTCCCCCTGCCCTGTGGACAGGACTCACAGTCCAGCACTCTTCTATTTGGATTTGGTTGGAGAATAGTTCAGGAATTTCAGATGAAGTCCAAAAGCTTTATGGAATCTGTTGGTGGAAGAGCTCTTTATCTCCATTAAGAGTCCACCATTTTGATCAGCAGTGGTAAAAGGTCCACATTCCTGACCCACCTCAAAAAATGGCACTCGAAAATATTTGAACACTTGGAATTGGTTCCTAGATTATTGTTTACTTTTTCAAGGGGGCAATGATAAAGATAGGTAGAGAGAACACTTGAAATCTTTGTTAGTCATGATCTTTCAAAAAGTTGAAGATTTCTAATAATCATTTGGAAATAAGGGGAAAAAAAGTTGACCTTGGATTTCAGGTTCCAAATTTAGATCTTAGTTGCTGATCTAGTGCCCTTAAGAATTACTGAAGAAAACGGAGGCAGGCAGCTTTCTCAATGGTCTGAATCTGCTCATATTATAGCAACAGATAACTTTTCCCAGGATCTTTCTGGGCAAACTGTATCTTCTGCACTGTCTTGAATGGTTTTGTTGACATCTTGACCTAAAAGTATCCAAATGTTGACTGGTGTTTATTTCAATGAAGAGGCAACCATGTAGGTTTTCTGTGTATGTGCATAACGTTTATGGGATGGGATTGTTCCCCTGGCGCAGTGGGTTCCCAGCCAAGCAAGGGAACTGAGATTGTCCAGTGATAACTTAATGAAGAGATTTTATTTCCCAGTCTCTCTACTCCACTTCCCAATTTTCTGAATTGAGATTTAGGGTGGTGGTGGGAAAGACTGAATTATCTTCTTATTTTTATGTAACTAATATAGTACCAGATACTCATAGGTTATAAGTGTTGGTTGAATTTGTTGAATTATGCTTTTTGTGCAACTGGGATAAACAGTTAAAATTAAACCTCTCAGAACTAATTGTTTTCATTTTGTAGAATAAAGTTTTGTTTGTTTCGGTTGAGATTTTTGCTGGCTTCATTTGGTAGGACGAATGCCAAAATAAAAGAATGTGGGTGTTTTCAGAAGATCTGGTCATCTATTTTGCATCCTCTCTGAAATATGTTACTTCCTGCATAATGAAGTAAAAGGATTTGCTGCTGGCCAGAGCTTTCCTTATTCTCACAAAGAGATTACTTAAAAGCCAGCCCTGGGAACTTTGTCCACGAATCTCTATTAGGGAAAAAGAATGACACAGGACTGCAGCTTCTGAGTGTTCACTGGTTATAACCCATAAGCACTGGGTTCTTTTTCTTATTTTTCCCACAGGGGAGAAAAAGAAATAGTTTGAAACATGACATCCGTGTTCAAAACAACAGCAAAGCCATATCATGCAGCAACAATGAAGGGGAGGGAGAAAATAAGAGGCTATTGAGACAGCTTGTTTTTCTTTGTACAAGACAGGGGTAGGGAGAATTCTGCAGGTTTTTGACTCGTGATTCATTCACTTCCACTTAATTGTGCTGAAGGTAGTTAGCAAAAGTGAACAGGCACACTGTAGCTTTAAAAAGTCAGCCATGAACCAGAAGGCAGTTGGTGCAGCTTGTGTGTGATTCCTAACGTCATGTTGGCTGAGAGCCAGCCTGGTTTTATTTCACTGTGTCAAATTGTACCTCCTTATTGAATTCCTTTGCCAGCCTACTTTGTGAAAGAAAACATTGGGGTTTCTTTGGCTGTTCTTGATAAGCCTATAAAAAATGATATGTTTTAGTTGCTTATAGGTAGGTTTTCTTTTTACTCTTCCACAAAAAAAAGAAAATAATAGTAATAATAATAATGTAGTATGATGTTGCAGAGTATCATTGTGAGTGTTTTGTTTTGTTTTGTTTTGTTTTCTGAGATGCTTAGAAAATGGTGAATGTGTAACAGTTTCCAACTGAAGTGAAATCATTCTTTTAGCATGAAGCAGCAGCACTATCTTCCTGTCTACTCTGTAACGGTGTGTGAATGTATGCTAATATCTATATGTATATTAAATGTTGGATTTCTCTAGCAATGATCTAAGTGGTTTAGCAACTGGAAGTTTGCGTGTGTGTGTGTATGTGTGTGTGTGTGTCAAGAGTGAAGATTATCCCACACTTACAGTGTTATTTGTTAATCATCTACTTCTCTAACAGTGATAAAATCTTGTGAATATACTGATGCACTTGCCATGTCAGAGTAATCCCTAGAGAAGGAGTGCCGAAGTATAAAGTGATTTGAGAGGAAATGTATTTAATTTATGGCTTCAGCTGAATAAGAGCAAACATGTTTCAGGACTGTTTTTTTTTTTTCTTTTTTTCTTAAAGCAGTTTTGTTCATAGCTTTTTCATCTTGCTAATTGCATATTAATTGTGGAGGGTTTTTATTTTTTTACAGTCCTCATCCTACTAAACAAAAAGACATAGTGATGGATGCTACTATATCTCCTTAAATGTTTTGATGATTTTTCATAAATCTAATGAGTTGCTACTCTCTCTTACACACACACACACACACACACACACACACACACAAGCACCACCTTTCTTTGCTTACGGGCTATCTGGCATTTTTGTGAGCTTCCTGCTTTACCACAGCATGGCCATCTCACAGACGGGTTTTTGAGGCTTTCATTGAGAATATGTGAGGTAGGGGAATACTTGCTGACAAAAGCTTTAAGTGCCCTTCTGCATTGCAATGAAAAAAATCTAGGAACAGGGGGAATGGACAAAAAAACAAATGCAATAAGAAAAAAAAAATCACAGCCCATAGTGGGGGGGGGCAGGAAAAGGGGGATTGTTTTTCTCTACTTTGACTCATTTATGAGTTGCAATGTCTTAAGTGAGAGCTTGGCACCCAGAGGAAGCTGTGCCAGTTCACACAGCACTTGTTTTGAACGCGGATTCAATTTCATTTGCAAATGCTTATTGTCAAGGCAGGGAGTGCCAGTACAGATGAAAGCACCCCAATCCGTCTCCGTCTCCTCCAGTTCTTTAGGTTTAATCACATCTCTCCAATCGCTGAGGGAACTGGAGATTTAAACAAACATACGTGAACTGGTGTGAAGCTGTAAAAGGGACCATTATGTTTCCGATTCAGAATATATATTCTTCTCTCACTTTCTAAGAATTAAACACAAGCTTTTCTCCCTTATTGATTAGTTGCTGAAGTAAAGGAACCCTGCAGCCTTCCCATGCTATCTGTTGACATGGAAAACAAGGAAAATGGCTCTGTCGGTGTAAAAAAGTAAGTGAAGCTGGCTTCTGAGTTCTGCTTCTGCAAACAACAGAGGGACTTGGTTTCTATTTTTATACTTCTTGCTTATATACTACAATACCACAGTTGGGGGGTTGTCTTGGTTTGTCTACACTGGCCACAAGTTCCCTTCTAACCCAACCCCAATTACCTTTTTCTGTATTCCATTTTTAAGACAGAGATGACTGAGACATCAAAATGCGCATGAAAGGTTTGTGTATCAGGCTTTGGAACAAGGACGGTTGAGGATTTCAGCCCTGCATTCTGTATATTGAAACAAAAACTCCGAGCAAGCATAGCCTGTGCCTTCCAAGTCTATAGGTTACAAGGGTGGGGGCAGAAAATAGAGTTTGAGTTTGTTTGTTTTAATAAAATAACCTCTAACTCTAAAACTAAGAGCTATAGTACAGGAAGGGAAAAGCTTCAGCAGGAATACTAAGTTGAACAACTTCTCTATCCTAATTTTATGAACTGTTCATTGAATGTGAAACATTTCAGTGCATACCATGGTGTTCTATTTTAATGTCTGTTGTCGCATTTGAAACTTCTGATTATATGTGTTGTGTAAGAGTTATATGTTTGATTCTTTTAAGTAGGAAATTCAGTTGCGTTATGTAGCATAATATTCTGAAATAAAACAAAAATCTGTGACTATAAGAAAAAAATGAATATTCTCATTTCAGAATTATATCGAAGCAATAACCACTTTGATTATAAGGAGAAAGGAAGTACTAAGAGGGTGTTTCTTTCCATGTCATTTAGTTTAAAATTGCCATCAACTTGAGCTTTGGAGGAAACTAATTAAATGTAATCCATAGAAGCTGTGATATCTAAATGAGGAGACAGTGTGCTATATGTTTATGAACAGAAGATATATTTTGCTTCACAGCAAAGTTACATTAAAATTAACTTAATAAAATCTCTTTTTTAAAATTCTCAAGTAATTTATATATCAGTGCTATACTGTCATGCTTATTACCATTCTTGAAGTTTGGGGTAGGTAGATGTAAGGAGGAATGAAAGAAACAGATGCTTTTTTATGTATGAGTTGGATCAGTGCTGTCTGACAGTATTTTCAGCAATGATGGAAATGTTCTACATTTGTGCTGTCTAAGATGGTAGCCACTAGCCACATAAGGCTCTTAAGAACTTGAAATGTGACTAGTGTAACTGATGAACTGAACTTTTACTTAATTTTAATCAATTTTAAAATTAACATCTTTATTGAAGTATAATTGACATATAATAAATCTCATGTTTAAAGTATAAAATTTGGTAACTTTTGATATTTGTGTACGCCCGTGAAACTATTGCCACAGTTAAGATAATGAATATATCCATCACCCCCAGTTTCCTTATAACCTTTTGTAATTTCTCCCTTCTGTCCTTTGCTGTCTCCTTATCCCCAGGCAACCATTGATATGCTGTCACTATAAATTAGTTTGCTTTTTCTAGAATTTTGTAGAAATGAATGTGTGTGTGTGTGTGTGTGTGTGTGTATGTATGGTTTCTTCTACTCAGTTTAAGTAATTTGAGATTTATCCATGTTGTGTGTATCAATGTCTCATTATTTTTTATTACTGAGTAATATTTCATTGTATGGATATACAAATTATTTACTGTTTATCATTCACATGATGATAGACATTTGGATTGTTTCCATTTTTTAGATATTACAAATAAAGTTGCTTGGATCATTGTGTACAAGTCTCTGTGTGGACATATGCCTTCATTTCTCTTCCATAAATACCTAGGAATGGGATTGGCTGGGCTGTATGATATGTGTATGTTTAACTTTTTAAGAAACTGCCAAACTATTTTCCAAACTGGTTGTCTCTTTTACATTCCTACAACCAGTGTGTGAGAGTGTGTGAGTGTTCTAGTTGTTCTATGTTCTCACTAACTTGGTATGATCAATTTTTTATATTAGATATTATGTTAGATGTGGTTTTAATTTTCATTTCCCTAATGACCAATGTGTTAAGCATCTTTTCCTGTGCTTATTTACCATCCATGTATCGTCTTAAGTGAAGCATTGTTCAAATATTTTGCCCATATTTTTATTGGTTAGTTTTTTTTCATATTTGTTGGAGAGTTTTGATATATTGTGAATATAAGTTCTTTATCATATATATGATTTGGATATATTTTTTCCCAGTATGTGGCTTGTCTTTTCATTCTTTCTGTAATGTCTTTCAAAGTGAAAAAGTTTTTGAGTTTTTATGAAGTCCCATTTATCAATTTTTTCTTTAGTAGATAGTGCTCTTGGTATCATATTTAAGAAATCTTTGCCTAACCCAAGGTCTCCATAATTTTCTCCTATGTTTTCTTCTAGAAGTTTTATACTTTCGGGTTTCAGGACTTAGGATTATGATTTTTGAGTTAAGTTTTGCTTGCAGTGTGAGATAAGGGTTGAAGTGTTCGTTGGTGTTGGTGGTAGTGGTTTTGGTTTTTTGCCTATGGATATTCAATTTTTCCAGCATCATTTGTTCAAACACGTCTGCAACTTTGTTGAAAAATAATTGATCACATATCTGTGGGTCTATTTTTGGACTCTCTATTCTATGCCATTGATCTTTTTTCATATATTTATATGCAAGTATAACACTGTTGATAACTGTAACTTGAAATCAGGTAGTGTTAGCTATCCAACTTTGATCTTCTTGTTCAAGATTGTTTTGATTCTTTGCACGTCTACATAAATCTTAAAATCAGCTTGTTAATTTCCACCAAAAAAAAATCGCCAAAGCTGCTGGCATTTCAGTTGGCATTGCATTCATTGAATTATAAATCAATTTGGAGAGAGTTGACATTTTAACAATATCATGTCTTCCAACAAATGAACGCAGTATTTTTCTCAATTTGATTAGGTCTTTAATTTCTTTCAGCAATGATGTGTAGTTTTCAGTGTGTAGGTCTTGCATATTCTTGTCAAATGCATCTCTACGTGTTTCATGTTTTTGATGCTATTTTAAGTGGTATTGCTTTTTTAACTTGAATTTCCAATTGTTTATTTTACTGTATAGAAATACAGTTGATTTTTGTATCTTGATCTTGTATGCCACAACCTTCCTAAACTCACCTATTACTTCCAGTAGGTCTATTACTTCTGTCATGTTTTTTAATACACACAATTATATCTTATGAATAAAGATAGTTTTACTTCGTCCTTCCCAATCTGGGTGCCCTTTATTTCTTTCTGCTTTCTTATTTCACTGAGTAGAATCCCCAGTGAAAAGCTGAAAAAAGTGGTGAGAGCAGGCATCCTTGTTTTGTTCCTCCGTTTAGTATTTTCCTTATCTTTGTTCTTCTGTATATATGTGTCACTTTTTTTTGTATGCTTTTAAGATTTTCTCTTTATCATTGGTATTTTAAGCAATTTGATTGTGAAACGTGATGTGGTTTTCTTCATGTTTCTTGTGGTTGGAGTTGGTTTTGTTTCTTGGATCTATGTGTGGACCTAGTTTTCATCAAGTTCGGAAAATTGTCAACCATTTTTTTCAAGATATTTTTGGTTCCTCCCTATTCTCCTTTGAGAACTACAGTTATATGTGTATTTCATCATTTGAAGTTGTTCCATAATTCGCTGATGCTCTGTTCCTTTTAAAAATTTTTTTCTCTGTGTTTCATTTTGGATAGCTTTTGTAGCTTTGCATTCCAGTTCACTGATCTTTTCTTCTAAAATATCTAATCTGTTGTTAATCCCACCCATTATATTTTTCATTTCAGACAATGTAGTTTTCCTCTCTAAAAGTTCAACTTGGGTCTTTTTTTTTTTTTATTTCAGCATATTATGGGGGTACAGATGTTTAGGTTACGTATGTTGCCCTTGCCCCCCCCCAAGTCCGAGTTTCAAATATTGGGTCTTTTTTTATATCTTCCCTGTCTCTACTTAATGTATTCGTTATTTCCTCTGGCTTGTTGAACATACAGAATATGGCATAATAACTTTCTCAGTGTCCTCGTTTACTAATTCTGTCATTTGTATCAGTTCTTGGTTGGTTTCAATTGATTGATTTTTCTTCTCATTACGGGTTGTATTTTCCTGCTTCTTTGCGTGGCTGGTAATTTTTGACTGAATGTCAGACATTGTGAATTTTACCTTGTTGGGTGGGAGATATTTTTGTACTTCTATAAATATGCTTGGTATTTATACTGGGATGCTGTTAGGTTACTTGGAAACAGTTTCATCCTTTTAAGTCTTGCTTTTAAGTTTTGTTAGGCAGGACTGCAGCTGCATTTAGTATAAGGGTATTTTTTTTCCCTCTTTTACTGAGATGTACTTTAACCAATGCTCCTGAATTAAGAGATTTTGCACTATGGCAGGTGGGAAAAGGTACTATTTCCATCCCTGAATGATCTCCAAGGATTGTTCCCTCTAAACCTCCAAGGTTCGTTCCCCCCTCAGGTAGTTTCCTCACATGCAGTTGCTGGTCAGGACTCTGCTGAACACTCAAGGGGAACTCTCTGCAGACCTCCAGAGTTCTCTCTTTGTGTAGCTCTCTCCTCTCCAGGACTGCCCTGTGCACAGCCTAAAAACCTTCCTCAGGGCTTGCCTTGCTTGTTTCCCATCTCTCAGAAATTGCTGTCCTTTACTGCCTATGACCAATGTCTTCAGTGCCATTGTTTCCTATATTGTGTATTTTTTTTCAGTTGTTTTAGGCAACAGGGTAAATACAGCTCCCATTACTCTATCTTAACTAGAAGTAGAAGTTCCAGTTAGTTTATACAGCCACAAGTGGCTAGTGGCTAACAACATGTTGGACAGGTCAGAGTTAGATTACAATGCAGAACCCCTAAGGGCATAAAACATAGGGTCTTAAGGATGTGTTGTGGAAGGGGCTGTTCTATGCATTGTCATAGTTTAGAAGCATCTCTGGCTTTTAAACTAGAAGCCAGTGGTATCCCTCTCCAGTCTTGGCAATCAAAAATGTCTCCAGATATTGCCAAATGTTCCCTGAGGGGCAAAATCATCCTCAGTTGAGAACCAT